GGTGGGACCCGATAGGTGACGGTCCTCTCGCCACCAAGCGTCCAGTTGCCAGCAGTGGGTGAGTTCACTGGGACTTTGGGGATGGGAGGTGGCAGCCAGCAAGCCTTCAGTTTCTGCGATTAAATTGGAAGGCTTGGAAGCAGGCTACGCTGCGTGGGAAATGCACTTGGTGCAGGAAAGGGGATGTCCTTAGCCAAGGTACTGGAAAACTGAAGGAAAACAGATGAAACTGCAGATCCCTCAACAAAAACGTGAGCAGGTGACACTTGACGTGGCAGGTTTGTGGTGCTGGAAATATCCAAATAATTTTCTAGGACGGTTTCTCTGATAAAGCAGATTTTATTTGCAATTGCAATGGCGGGCCTCCTGCAAGCAGGAGAGCCCCGAGAAAGCAGTGTTACATCTTTTATCCCCTATTGCCCGCCGCTGATCTCTTTCTCCCCTGGTTCCTCATTGGCTGAGTACTGCAGGTTCACACTCTTTCGTGACGTTTCACTAATCATACAAACACCGAGTAGACACAAATCTTTGCCGCCCAGATGCAAATGTCTTCACTGGTTAACTGACTTCTAACAATTGCTTTCTTAACAAACAAATTTGGTCGTAACTTTTTGGATGTCAGTTTTACAGCATAAACATGGAAATAGCCTCAATCGTTTAATTACCCCCCCCTAACATTTGTGCCCCTTCACACTGGTCATTGTTCTGGTCATTCACCTGTCCTTGCATAGAGATAAGCTCGGAAGGAGGATAGAGGGGAGTACCTTGGAGCCTGCCTATGGCATCCTAACATTCCCACAAAGTGGGACAGTTCTGCTTTGTATAAAGGCCCTGACTCCTTGAAAGTTTGTTCAATGTGTTTTGCTTCTGCCGGTCTAATGAACAACCTCACAATCTGTTTCCTAGTTCACAGTACTATACCCATATTGTTTAGAACATTCAAAATCTATTGCAGCTTCGTGAGAAAGTGTTTGTTAGGTAATTTGGTAACTATGTTTCTAAAATATGTTACTAATATGTATATGGTATTCTTACTTTCCACATCAGCTATTTCTAAGGGTATGTTGCAGCTTAATTCTTTAGATCAATTGCCCTTTTCAATGTTCAGGGCAGAAACAACACTTTCACTTTCCACAGTGGGAAGGTCAGCTTCCCCGTGTTTGTGTGTCAGCCGTCATCCTCCGTACCGGAGAGGCTTTATCTGCTCGTCTTGCTTAATTGCAGCACGTTTCACACGCATGGACAACCTGTGCAATAGCACCCTTGATCCAGACCCCATTTCCATATTGCATCCCTTCCTCAATGGCCGGAGGCGTCATGGGAGCATGGAGCAGGAAATAATTCCCTCTTGGGGTAGTTGAAGCACTATGAAAGTCTGCCAGGTGAAGCCGTGCGTGCTCCATCCCCGGAGGTGTTCAGGGTCAGTCTGGATGGGGCTCTGGGCAGCATGACCCCGCGGGTGGCATCCCTGCCCACGGCGGTGGGGCTGGGGTTCTAAGCTCTTTGCTGTCCCTTCCAACCCAAGCCATTCTATGACTCTGCGTTTCTGTGACGTAAGCACCGGCCCCACGCAGCCCTGGTGCAGTGCATCACAAGAGCAGCAGCCTGCGGGGAGCCGCCGCCCGGAATCTCGGAGCCGTGAGGTCACAATGCCCCGTCCTATGACTGTGCTGTGCTGTGCTGTGCCGCAGGCTTCGCTCTGTGCGACACTCACTGTGGCTGCAGCGGTGGTGTTGGAAGCATGGTGCGAGTGTGGGGGGCCATGGCCCCTGCCCGCCTTGTCCTCTTCCTCCTACTGATGGCCATGTGTTTCCGGGAGACTTGTGCTGCTCCGTGGCGAGCACCGGGAGCAGGTGGGTGGGCAGAGATGGGACCCAAACCGAGCAGCACTGGCGGCAAGAAGTCAGGCTGTGTCCCCACGGCCCTGTGCCACGCTTCCCTGGGGCCTGCCTTCCACGGGGGTGCTGTCGGGCAGGGGGTGAGGGCCAGCGCAGCAGGAGCCGGGCCGGAGCCCGTGGCAGCGCTGCTCCCCAGAGCCGGCTCCAGCCACGCCGGGCCATGGCTCTGCTGCTTGCTGGCTGGAGCACAGCCTTCATCCTGGGAGACGTCCTGGGGAGAGCTGGGAAAAGCGTGAGCATTTCTGCTCCAGGCTCGTGGTACTCGTGGTACCATAGGTGAATGCCAGCTTCCAACACAGAGCCCCGGCCCACGGCCCAGAGGAAGAGACAGGCGTGCCTTCCTCCAGTGCTTCAGGGTGACCTTCCTGTCCGTTAGAGGCCTCCCAGTAAGAAAGCCCCGGGGGGCTGCATCTTCTTCCACGCGGTCCGTGAGGGATGTGGCACACGGCTTGGGGCGAGCACTGTGTACGCTGCCAGGTGCCAGCCTACACGTCATCCTGGCCACTCCGCAACTTTGGAAATCGTGACCTGAGTCCTTCTGCCATCCCGTTGCACGACCCGCATCCAGTGACCGAGGGAGAAGGAGATCACGCCATGCAATGGGAATTTCTCCCATCTGTTCTTGATTCTAGGTGATGCCCTTGGTGCTCCCTTTGCAAATGATCGTTTGGGTTTGGATTTTGTGCCTGTGCCTGTGGAACAACCCAGAGGTAAGTTGTGAGTGTCTGTTTCCTTGGAGGCAGAAACGTTCATGCTCTCCCAGTTTACTTGGGTGCAATTTGACTTCAGATCCCCTCAAGATCTTCCGAGTCGGTTTGAGCCTTGAGGGGCATGCACAGTCGAGCCATGAGTATTTCTTTACTCGGAGAAGTATGCCACATTTCAGTGGGAAGGTTACCGCTGCCCCTCTTCAGCTGAGAGAGCCCAGATCTTTGTATTTGGGCCGTGGCATTCCCTGGCCCACCGCCAGAGCCTACAGGTCACTCAGGGAAAAGGAGGCCCCACACGTGGGGGAAGCTCTCCTCACCTGTGTCTGATCACACTTGTGCCTGCAGGCCCTGCTGGTGAATCCACAGGAGAGTATCCTGTCTACGAGCCTGAAGGGGATGCTGGAGGTAAGTCAGCAGGCTTCATTTCCTCGGTATTGGATCATATTTGGCTGGGATAGTTCAGCAAGGGTTCCGCTTTTCAGCGGCCAGCGGGTTCTTCTCCCCGAGAAGCGTGGATGGCCGTTGTTTCTTGGGTGCTCCGTGCTGTCAGCGTGGTGTTGCCTTCGTCCCTGTATCTCCGAGGTCTCTCAGCAAGAAGATTTCAAGGGGCTGAGTGTTCTTCCATGAGGTCCCTGAGCATTGTTTCCCGTGGCC